GACAAATGATTCCAGTTCACTCTTTATTATTCAAGATATCAATAGTAGAAAAAGCTATGCTGTAAAGTTTAAGGAAAGCCCCAGTAGAAGAATCATCAACGGCTGCTGTGTTTTGGAGCTTGGTCACACCATCTGCAGGAGAGGATTAAACCTCCTTTTTTGGCAATAACAATAATTAAATTCAGAACCCTGCACATGCTAGGCAAGAGCTTGACCATTGCACTATACCCCAGACCCTGAGTTATAACTCTTTGATAAAACAGTATGTTAATGGCCCTGATAGAATTGGAACACTTGACCTTAGGATGCAAGGTGACAATGAATCTGGAATTGCCTACATGTATTGGGGAAAAGTCACAAAGTCAGGTAGGCTCAGTAGCAATCCATCCATCACAAAATGGAAAAATGCTCTTTTAAATTTTGTGACAGGATCTCGATAAATTGCTTAGGGCCTTGCTAGCTGACCTTGAACTTAAAATTCTTCTGCCTCAGCCTCTGGAGTTTCCGGGATTATAGGTGTGTGTTACTGAGCCCAGCTACAAAATGGAAATTATATATCTGGGACTGAACATGAATGGGAAGAGATGACACAAACAAGTGATGTGAGCAATGAATCTAGAACCCCATGACATCTACTAAGCGCCATCATAGCATTCACTATGTAGCAGCATCCCTCTTCAGATCAAATCCATGGCCATATGGGACTCTCATTCAATCAGTTAAAAAAAAAAGAGGAAAACCCCTAAACCCCTAACTTGTTTAATAGATAGATTGGTTCTTTACGTAGGCAAAAAAAAAAAAAAGATGTCTGCAAAATAGTCTTATTCAGGGGTGACTGTGAAAGACAGTGATAATACATTGTTTGAAAGAAGTCCTCTCAATGGGCAGAGCTTCAGTAGGTGGTCATACTTTGTGTGATAGGAGAAGTGTCCTAGAGGGAGATTGCATATGGACTCATGGACAATGGTAAATGATCAGGAGCCTGTAAGAAGAAAACTAGATATTGAGACAAGAAGGTCTAGGGAAGAAGTATGTACCTGGACATATAAGAGTGGGCAGAATGTGTGAAGATTTTTTTTTAAAATCACCTATTAATGCCAACCAGAAAGTACCTGAACAGCATGGACACCAAACAGCCACATAGACAAAATAATTGGACTAATTCACTGGCATGAGAGGCAAATGGATGTCATGGCCACAATGCAAGAGATGGAAGCTGTGCATGGGTTGAAAAACATGGATTCCCACTTACCAAGGCTGATCTAGTGATCACTTTTTTTTTGAAAGTTTAACCTACCAGCATCAGACAATAATGCAGAACCTCTAATTTGGCATTGTTCCTTGAGAAGACCAACCAGTCATTTGGTATCAAAGAGACTACTACATGGGACCCTTTTCTCCTGGGAAAGGGTTCCCCCCTCCCCAGAGAAATAGTTATTTCATTTGGGTCTGTCTTTGCCTTTCCTGCCCACAGGTCTTAGCACCATTATCAAGCCATTTACAGAAAGCTTAATCTATGGACTTGAAAAACTATAGTATCCAACTATATTTTTTTTACAGACCCACTGGTTATGCCATATAGTGCTATATAATTTAGCCACTAGAGGCTACTGCCTAGAGTGTTGGCATGTTTGCTGGAAGTGCAGCTGAAACACTGAGAAAGCAGTACACTGCAAGGTCAGGGTAACATGACATGGTATAGATAGTAAATAACTGATCTTTATAAGGCACCATATCCCCAGTAGGAAGAATACATTCCTAAGTCTGGGAACTAAGAGGAAGAACCAGGAGTCACTTTATTTGCCACACTTTTAGAGATACCCACCTTCCAAGGGATTCCCACAGTTTTGGATTCTATAGGATTAGAGATCCTAATCCCCATCATGGGTGAATTTTTGCCTGGAGACATAGCAAAGCTCCCATTGAGCTATAGGTTACCACTTCCACTTGCACACTTTGGGCTCTCTAGTCAGGGCAAGAGGAAGAGACACTATTTTGTCAGGGTCAAGGACCCTAATCAGTAGTAAAAGATAGGATGGCTATTATGTGATGGGAGCAGAGAGGAATGTGTATGGAACAGAAGAGGCACATTCTTAACTAACTGTAACAAATAATGGTGACATCGTGGTAGAGGCTAAACATTAGTAAAATAACCAGAGTTCAGACCTCACAGGAATGAGGATTTGGGATACAGCAGCAGGTGAGCTATTAATGCTAACAGAGGGCCACAGGACTTTGAAATACAGAGTGAAGGAGGGAGGTAATGAGTACCAACTATGTACTCATAAAATCAACTATGTAGGCATGGAGGCTGTACTTCATCCAGCTAACCTTCCTCTTTTAAGTTACCCCTTAGGAGGAGAGGCCTACCACAACCCTGGAGAAGCCACTCCCCAAATATTTTTATGAAGTGGATCCAACTGGTCTATATGGTAAACTGTGATGGATGTGAAGATGTGTTAATCAAGTTTTCCTTCAAGTAAAGGGCTCACTCCTCAGCTGTAAGAGGTGTGATAAATTGACAATCCCCAGCTGTTGATGCCTTCTGAGTTAGCTTCAGGTTTTCATCCTGTGCTTTTCTCAGGGTGGTTCCCAGCCAATGACTGAGCAAGGCCTTTTGCCACTCAATGGGGAAATTCTGTGAAAGAAAATCTTTTATGTGGACAATCTATGTGATCAGCCTACTCAATCTGACTTCTGCTCCTTTTTTTTTTTTTTCACACATGTTCCCTTCACCTCCAATAAGCTTGTGTGTTTCTAACTTCTCTTCAGTATCTACTTCTGGGGCAATCTAACTGGAATAGTGGTGGATTGGAATTAGGCCCCTGAACTCCACATTCTCTGCTCCCAAACTTGGGATGGGTGACCAGACTCATCAGAACTGCTGTTTTCTCATATGTACAATTAAAGATACTTATTTCTTTCATATCCACATTACCACAGTTATTATGAGGATAAAATGAACACATGCAGGGAAATGCCATGCAATTTGAAAGTCACTATGTAAACTGTCACAGTTTTTATTAAAAGAATTAAAGTGCAAAGCATGATGGCACATGCCTGTAATCCCACCTACTAAAAAGACTGAGGTAGGAAGATCACAAGTTAGATGCAGGCCTGGACAACTTAATGAGACCCTGTCTCAAGATAACAAAATAAACAAAAAGGGCTGTGAATGTAGCTCAGTGGCAGAATGATTGTCTTGTACATATCAGTTCAGTTTCCAGTACTGCAAAAAAAAAAAAAAAAAGGTTTAAAGAGTTAAAGCATTTCCCAGGTTACCAAACAATGCTCGACAGTTTAAAAAAACTCAGATAATAGTTTTCAAGTCCTTTGAAAGCTGGTATGATGCATGCAGGTTTTCTGTAGCTCTATTTATTCCCAGGGAGTAATTTATACACCTAGATATCCTGTTTGACAATCAGATACAGACCTAAACAAAGAATCGTAGAGTACTGCAGTAAGCTGTTGTGTTTTGGTTTGTTTCTTTTCATTTCTAGGATAACAATTTTTACTAAGAGGAAACAAGAAACGTTGAAATATCTCTTTTGACAAACACAGAGGCTAGAGGGTTTTTTTTTAAAACACTTAATATCCATGTGATCATGAACCAATTTTTTTTCTGACTTTCTTGTAATATGATGCAATTTTATATTTGGGGGTAAGTTTTATAATGTTACAATCTTAACATGCATGTAAACAACATATTTCCTATAGTTTTGCACTTATTCTCTGTATTCTTGTTCATTGAACAAAAAGACCTAGTGATCAGGCCAGTTACTTTATCAGAAACATTTTTAGCAGTTACTTTTTCATAAAAAAGAAGGGAAAATTTTCTATAAAGTGCTATTGTTTGCTTAGCTGGCAACTCTGATTTGCAGTGGGTTTTCTCTCTTCCAGGCTTTTAAAAGGCATTTCTTTGATTTGCATTTAAGGGTTAACACAAGTTGTTACAAACTTTGAAAACTTGTGGTTTAATATGAAGAATTAATAACCACAACCACAAAAGTGGGAAGTTATACTCCATGTATGCACGATATGCCAAAAGACATCTACAGTCATATATAACTAAAAAGAATTTTTAAAAATTTAAAAAGAAATGTTCTTACACATATTATAGAAATATGGATAAAAGAATAATTCCCTAATACTCTACCATGGTACAGAATACCTGCACTGTGACTTAGACACTAATAGGAAAGGGAATGTCAATAATAGAAACGATTATAAAATCTACTAGGCAAATTTAATGTTTTCATCATGGTTTCATGTGAATAGCAGAATTCTTCAGATTGATATGACATTTTGTATGTGCATTCTGGGAACTCTGATAATTGAATACAACTTCAAAAAGGCTAACACCCAGTGACCTCCAAATGGGGTTCATAGAACAGTACACAATGATGAAACCTGAAGCAATAAAACACCGATGAACTGAAATATAAACATTTCGTGCTCCCAGGACATGGCTGAATTTTCATTTCATTTTGTTTTAGAATTCTACTAGGCTGTCTTCAGACATCTTCTTTCATATCTTAAGTGTTGTCTGAGGGATCTTAGGGGAGAATCCCAGTTTGGAGGAACCCCATAAAGTTAGCACCTAGTTCCTATACTGTAACAGGGTGTTTCTTTCTGAACATAGTTGTCTATTTGATTCCCACAGAGCGCATGAAGTCAAATTTACACGTGAGGGTCCCTTTGCCTGGAGTTCTAAATATCTCAGTTCCTCCACCTTTTCGCCTTTCCCCTGGGTTTGGAGGCCACCTGTGCCACTGGGCACACCTTCGATTCTCACGGTGCCTGGAGCTTGCAGGCTGCAGGCTCCGACCCCGGGAAGGAGGGGCTAAGCGGAAAGAAACTAAGAGTCGGGAGCGCTGCCGCTCACAGGCAGCACTGGGGGACGCGGAGGGGCGGGGCGGCGCGCGCGCTCCGCCGCCGCCGCCGCCGCCGCGTCACCAGCGTGCGGCACGTGCCCATGTTTACGTCCCTCGTGGAGCCGCCGACGTCAGCAGCTTAATGGCAACATTGTGGCGATGCTGAGGCGCAGAGTTTAGGAGACGCGTCTACCGTGAGGCCGGCTCCGCTCGGTGGGCAGGAAGAAGAGCAGGGGCGGGGAGGTCGGCCCGGCGAGCGGCGGTGATACACAGCCCGCCGGCCCGGCCCGGCCTTGCAGCGCCGGCTTTTCGTCTCCGGAGTGCTGCAGGCGCAGCTCCGCGGCCTCGCGCGGGGGGCGGTCGGGCAGCCGCGAGGCGCTGCCGCAGCGCCGGGCTTGTAAACAGATCCGGCCGCACGTGACCATGTGAACTACCTGCTCCGGGGACGCGTATTGTCTCTCCTGCGAGCCGCACCACAAAGGAGCTCGGCGGTTCGAGTGCAGAGGGGCCGGCGAGCGAGCGCAGAGAGCCGGCCGGCGCGCTAAGATGGCTGAAGGCGCCCGGAGAGGGTGAGCGGGGGGCGCGGTGCAGCCAGCCACCGAGACTTCAGGCGGGTAGGGCTTCGGCCCTCCCCCGCGGCCGGGCGCCGCAGCCACCATGTCTTTCGCTCTGGAGGAGACGCTCGAGTCGGACTGGGTGGCTGTGCGGCCCCATGTGTTCGATGAGCGCGAGAAGCACAAGTTCGTCTTCATTGTGGCCTGGAACGAGATCGAAGGCAAGTTTGCCATAACCTGCCACAACCGGACAGCCCAGAGGCAGAGGAGCGGCTCCCGGGAACAGGCGGGGACTCGAGGGGGTGCCGAGGCTGGCGTACCCGTGTCCGACGGGACCCGCGGGCCAGGCAGCCCGATGGGCAAGGGACGGCCTGAGGCCACAGGCTCTGCGACTCCGGTCCGGAGCCCTGGGTCCCGGAGGAGTCCGACCTGGGCGGAGGGAGGATCTCCGCGGAGCGCGCGCTGCCTTCGGGGGGACCCGCCGCAGCGGAGCCCGGCCGGCAGAGGAGCGGAGAGTCTTCTCAGGAGCCCTGCGCGGGCCAAGGCCGGCCCGGTCCGAAAAGGAGTGCAAGCCAGAGATGCGGCAGGGTCAGCCACTGCTACCCAACCGGCGCCCAAGGAGGCCCTGGTGTCCTCTGTGCGAGTTGTGAGCGCCTCCGGGGCGGTCTCCGAGGAGATCGAAGTCCTGGAAATGGTTAGGGAAGACGAGACGCCCTTGGCGCTCTCCGACGCGGAGCAGCCGCCTCCCGCGGCCGAGCCGGAGTCTCCGGCTGAAGAGTGCAGCTGGGCCGGGCTCTTTTCCTTTCAGGATCTGCGCGCCGTGCACCAGCAGCTGTGTTCTGTGAACTCGCAGCTGGAGCCGTGCCTGCCAGTGTTCCCCGAGGAACCCTCCGGCATGTGGACCGTGCTGTTCGGGGGCGCGCCTGAGATGACAGAGCAGGAGATCGATACTCTGTGTTACCAGCTCCAGGTCTACCTGGGCCACGGCCTGGACACCTGTGGCTGGAAGATCCTCTCTCAGGTGCTCTTCACCGAGACCGACGATCCTGAGGAGTATTACGAAAGCCTCAGCGAGCTTCGACAGAAGGGCTACGAAGAAGTGCTTCAGCGGGCCAGGAAGCGTATCCAGGAGGTGAGAACCTAGTTTGTGTTGTTGTTAACGCGTTTGGTTCCTCACTACTAAAGGCTGGAGCCAGGGTCTGGGATGTGCGCCTTTGGGATGGTTGGTTTTCTTCAAACGGGAAAAGGAAAAGAGGTGTTCTGATCGCTCTTCCCATTCGTTTCTTTTAGTGGCTTATTTTAAAGTTATTTGTTTCTGTGAAGGCCTTTTTTGATAAGAATTAGATTTGCTTCCCCATTTACTAAATACATGCTATGTAATAAGTGCACTCTGTTTACAACTCAGCGTTGGTAATGAGATTAAAGCCACTGAGAAAAAAGGTATTCTGTAATCATAGATTAAATGAACATTACTTATGTCCCCAAAACTTTTTCCAATAACTGCCCAGATGTCAACTCTTTCCTGGTGTCATTTCTTTACTTGAGATAGTTTGTCTCAAGAAGCAAAATTGATCTTATGTTTTCTTTTTATGCAGTCTGTTGATGCAGGCAAATTTTAAATTCATTTTGTTTTTTGGATGTTCAAACACTGAGTTATACCCCCAGCCCTAAATTTGATTTTTTAATGAGTGATCTGTCCAAATTTAAAAAGAACTGACAATTGGATGCAAATTTATTTTTAGGATGTCTCAAGTCTTTACAGATGATTCAGGTTTCAGTCATGTTTTAGGGAGGAAAAAAAAAGGTCCTAGAAAGTAATGCTTATTATACTTTCTTATTTAAAATAAGTAAATGAAGTATAAAAGTTTTCAGTCCTTAAGATAACAGGAAATAAAGGGGGAAAATGCCAATATGGCCTTTTTACTAAAAAAGGATTTTAAAAGTTTCCTCTAATGGACAGTACAGGTAGCTTCTCAAGCAAGTTACTGTTAAAAAGTATTGGTAAAAATTAAGGTTAGATTTGAGATGGGGAAATGCCCTCTTTTATGGTGTTTTTATTCTTTAGATTGTGATATCATTTGTCTATGTATGTCTAATATTTGAATCTTGCTATTAGGCCAGGGTACTGAAGCCTCCTGGTTTCTCTGTTCAGCAAGAGGTGTATTTTATTGTCGGACTTGAATATTTAGTAAACAGTTCTTTTTTCTTCTACCACAGGACTTTTTACAATGTCCTATATACAGAATTCACTCCTTTCTGTTGGTTTGGTTTATGCTAAATGTCACTCACTCATAACTTGACTCTAGATTCCAGAAATCTTTTTTTTTTTTTTTTTCTCCCTTTTGTATCTTCTGATGTCTTTTCTACCTTAAATTATTCTTGGAAAGAAGGGATGGAAATCACATTCTTTCTAGTGTTTTAATCTGTAGATCTTTTAAACTGTAAGACCAAAGTTAGTATTTCTTTCTTTTGCTCAGTTACAGAGTAATATTATAGTAGTTTTTTTTTTCAAACTAGTAATTTTTCATCCCTTATTGAATAGACCTTTCTGATTTTAACTTTCAGGGTATTCAGAAAAAGGAACTCTTTCTGGATTCAAATGGGTCAAAAATGAGCTGCCAAAAATAGTTTTCTCAAACTCATTAATAGGGTTACATTTTTCAAAAATAATATATTTTATTATAATATATTTTCCTAATTAATGTATTTTCTTATTTAAAATATTGACTTTGTGTTTTATTTTCTTTGATAGCAAAAAGTTAAACTTTTTTTTTTTTGTAGACTAGGAATTGAACCCAGGGATACTCCATCTCCAACTCTTTTCATTTTTATATTTAGATAGGGTACTGCTAAATTGCCTCAGCTGGCCTCAAACTTGTGATCCTCCTGCCTCCTCCTCCAGAGTCTCTGGGATTATGGGTTTATGCCTCCATGCCCAGCTAAAAAAGATTAAAATTTTAGGAGTATTTTGTGTTTTGGGAACCAACTCAAATATTGTAAACTCAAACCATAAATACATAACTTTTGGTCCTTCACACAGTTTGCTTGAACAGTATTTTAAAAATATCAGAGACAACAAATTTGTTTATAATGCCTACCTTCATTTGTACTGGAAGATTATATTGAAATTTAGACCTGTTTTGGGGAAAGCATTATGTGGTTGATTAATGATGTCTGCCATGAGCATGGTATTGAAAGTGTATATGGGACACTGCCATGTATTTGTGTTCTGGCTGCTTAAAATTTTTGCTATCTTAATAGTTTGCAGTAGTTTTTTAGTTGTTTGTTTTGTTTTTGATTTGTTTATGGTGCTGGGGAAAGAACCCAGGACCCTGCACATGCTAGGCAAGTGATCTAGTACTGAACTATGCCTCCAGCCTCAGTAGTTAACATTTCTTAAGATAAAATCTGTATGGAAGTTGTGTCTTGTTTGTATTAATTCTGCGGCCAGCATTTAGTAATTCCACCTAATTCAGTGTTGTTTATTCCCAGCTCTCAAGTTTATTCAGCTTGTGGAATTAGGGATAACTTTTAGCAGATATATTACTTAGAAAATTTAGTCCTTTGATCATGTTTTTCCTTCTTTAATTTCTGTCTTTTTTTGTGGTACCACAGAACTACAGGATATCCTCAGCCCTTGTCTCCTTCAGTTGCTGAGGCTGTACTCAAACTTGTGATCTTCCTGAGTAACTGGGCAGGCTTGTGCCACCTTGCCAACTCTACACCTGTTTTTGTTTAAAATGACCACTAAATTGTTGAAAGGAGATTTGGTGGTGGTGGTTTTTTGCTGTGCTGGGAATAGAACACAGGGTCTCAGGCATGCTAGGCAGGCACTCTCCCACTGGACTATGTCCCCAGCTTCTCACACCTTAATCCCCTTCCTGTCCCCCACACCTTTTAAAATAAAACAGACTGTTCAACTAGATTGTAAATTTTGTAAGATACAAGTAGATTGAAAACTTTGCAAGGCCACTGGCGGCCTTGACAGTATCTTGGTGTTCTCTTCTTTACTGCCCCTTCTTCATAAAATGTGAGCACTGTTAATGTTAGTAGATAAAAGGACACCAGGGTTTTCTTTTACGATTACAAGAGTTTATAGGATATGGAAGATGTATATTTCTAAGGCAAAGTGTGTAAATACAATTTCTGTAAAATGATAAACATAATTTTTGAGGGGCTATGATTTAAAAGATAGGAGAAAAAGCTCTGGAAATTACTAATAACTTTTAAAATAAGAGGTCTTTATTTGGGGTTGGTGAATTCCCCATAAAAGGGCAATGGATGGGATAATGAAATGAGGCACTCTTAAGTAGCCTGCAAAGTATTACATATGTCAGCTGTGAGCATTATTGGAGATAAGGGCTTTTACCAACTTAAAAAAAAAAATTTTTGTCATAGATGAACACAGTACCTTTTTTTTGTTTGTTTGTTACCAGGGCACTCAACCACTGAGCCATATCCCCAGCCCTATTTTGTATTTTATTTAGAGACAAAGTCCCACCGAGTTGCTTAGCACCTGATTTTGTTGATACTGGCTTTGAACTCTTGATCCTCCTGTCTCAGCCTCCTGAGCCACTGGGATTACAGGTGTGCACCACTGCACCAGGCATGATACCTTTATTTTTTTATTTTTTATTTTTAGTTGTAGTTGGACACAACTGTAGTTGGACATAATTTTATTTATTTATTGTTATGTGGTGCTGAGGATCAAACCCAGCGCCTCCTATGTGCTAGGCGAGCTCTGTTTCACTGAGCCACAACCCCAGCCCCACAATGTCTTATTTTTATTTATTTTATGTGGTGCTGAGGATGGAACCCAGGACCTCACATGGGCCAGGCAAGTGCTGTACCACTGAGCTACAACCTCATTCCCTTTCATCAAACTTTTAAAAGGTGTTCCTCAAATAGTTTTAAAAACCCTGTTGTAAATTATTTTTGAATTTATGGCACCTCTATGGGAGTTCAATTTTTGGAATATTCTTTGAGATTTCATAAGGGATCTTAAGAAGTACTCCCATATCTTTGTTTTCTGTTTAAAGTCTTTGTAAATGATTCATTACTTTGGTCAGTTGACTGAAAATTATAGTTTGTAAGGACTTATAACTATTATAGAGCTAATAAATTATTTTTAGATGACAGAAGAGTTGGAAGATTGTGTACTACTTCAAGCCTCAATTCTAACTAAACGTGAAATTTGGTTTACAGGGGTTTATTGCTTTTTATACAGCAGGCACTTAATCCCTATGTGAATGCACGTACCACCAAGGCCTCTTTGCTTAGTTTCACCCGTAGGCCTTGGTTGTTGGTCAGAGCTGAGGTGTGTATTACAGTGTTGTGTGCATAGGTGGCCAATACTGAGGCTTATCTTTGACCTGGATTTTGTAAATAACAGTTTCTGTGTAAGGACAGCTTTCTTGAAATGATTAATTATGGTGCTGTAGTTGGTAAACCTTAATTATGATCTAAAAATCAGTATTTACTTGGGAATTTATGATGTTTACAAAAATGTTTTCTAACTTCTTTCCAGTTGAAACCACTGTTTGAGAGCAGTATGTGCTAAAAAAATCAAAACAAAACAAAAAACCCACACAGACAGCTTATTTAACTGTTTAGAGTCGGAAAGACCTAGGTTTGAATTAAGACTCACCCCTTCAGGTTTAGTTATTTGAATAGGGAAGTGAGCCGGGCGCAGTGGTGTGTGCCTGTAATGCCAGCTACTTGGGAGGCTGAGACAGGAAGATTACAAATTCTGGGCCAATCTCAGCAGTTTAGTGAGACCCAGTCTCAAAATGACGTTTAAAAAAAATATATTTGAAAAAAGACTAGGGATGTATCTTAGTGGTACAGACTGGGTTCAACCCCTAGTATGCAATATAAACAAATAATAACAGGAGGAGGGAATTGAAAAAAATACCTAAAGAATGTTTTCTTATGTAAGTAAGTGCCCAATAAAGTCCCTAGCATTTACAGAAGAGCTTCTATTGAAGTAGTTTTTCTGTTTCATTAGTAAAGATTCTCTAGTTTTTTACCGAATCATTCTTTTAGAGATTATAGGTTTTTTTTAAAAGAATATTTATGTATTTATTTATTTATTTTTGTGTAGTGCTGGGGATTGAATCCAGGGCTTTGTGC